GAAAGGACAGAAACACCATTAATTCTTTGGGCATTCCTTCTTGTCTTCAGGTGAAGCTGGCCCCTCAAAAGGAAGTGATCACTTCAGATGAGCTAATGGCACATCTTGGTGAGTGAGTTGCATGTGGACTGGAGTGGTATTCAATGCAGCTCTGCAGGTAGTTGATTTGTCTAGAATTGAAATTCGGAAGAGCAAGGGGTTTTCCTTGTGAGACACTTTCTATGAGTCTGGCTGGTAAAAGAACATCAGGTTGGTCATCAGGAGACCTGAATTCAAGCTGTTGCTTGGCTACTACTTTTCTGCCTAGCCTCCCTGGACTTGTTTGCTCATCTAATAAAATGGGAGGTTGAAACGAGATGCATTCTAAGATAGCTTCATATCTGGCTTCTCTTCTGGATCTCCAATTCTGCAAGGGAAGGGAGAACCTGTTTGGGAGGTTTGTGAGGGTTAGTTCATAAAGGACTTTCTACTGTAGGAGACTGTCTACTATCCATCAAGCCACAAGAGAAGTCAGAAGCACTACAGCTAAACTTTCAGCAGGTAAGGCAGGAGGGACTTCCAAGATAGAGATCTGAAGATTTATAGGGAATGGAGGGTGGCAATTCACCACTGGGCACTTTAGACAAACCTTCTCCCCTCTTTCCTTAGTGTATTTCCCTTTTCCCCATTTTTAAGGGCAGGGGTTCTTTCTCCTGGAAAGATCCTTATCTGTTTGGGTTGATGAAGCAAAGGCAGGGATCAGAAGGGTTTTGATGAATCATGCAAGGTTCGAGGGAAGGTGAATCAAGACTATTGGGCCTAGGGAGTTCAGAAATAGCAGGATTCTGTTCTCTTCTTGGAGATGTGTGGAGGTATGGGCTAACTTCTTTGTCTCTTCCCTCCCCCCCCCCCGCCCCCAGAATGTAGATGATGCAATGACAGTACTACCCAAACTGGCCACGGGTCTGGATGTCAACGTGCGGTTCACAGGCGTCTCTGATTTTGAATATACACCTGAGTGCAGTGTCTTTGACCTACTTGGAATTCCCCTCTACCATGGTTGGCTGGTAGATCCACAGGTGAGGGTACAAGGAGTTCTATTTCTCCAAACAAAACTGAAGCAAGACAAGGTGCTGGGGAGAGCAGCAGGAACAGAATGGGGGTTAAGAGGGAAAGGAGAGGAAGAGGGCTGAGGGGGCTATTAGAATACAGAATGGTTGATGGGAATTTCTGGGCAGATTAACCTTAAACAAAAGACATTAAAAAGAAGTATAAATAGCACGTGCAAACCTGTACCAGTTCTTTATGAGTTGAGAGATCGGGCACCTTTGGTCATGTTACTGTAGCCAAGGTGAGATATAGGAGGCATCCTACGTCCCTGGGGTGGTGGGGAGGGGGTTCTTCTCATTCACGCAACCTCATCATCCTTGTAGAGCCCTGAGGCTGTGAGTGCAGTTGGCAAACTGAGCTACAATCAGTTGGTGGAGAAAATCATCACCTGTAAGCATTCAAATGATACCAACCTCGTGACAGAAGGTAATGCCCCCTACTCTCTACCATTAGAACACACCCCCTGCTTTATGGGGAGGGGAGAATGAGGCAGGCAACAGGGCAGGTGGAGGTAATGTTTGGGGAGGTAAAAAGAATTGCACTTTAAAGGGCCCCCAGAGTTTTAGGATCATCTCTGGGCGATCCTTTCAGCTTCAAACTCTGGATCTACATCAAAATTCATCCCAATCTGTGTTTTCCTTGCCAGGCTTAATCGCAGAGCAGTTCCTGGAAGTGACAGCAGCACAGTTGACATACCATGGACTATGTGAGCTAACAGCAGCTGCCAAGGAAGGAGAACTCAGTGTCTTTTTTCGAAACAATCACTTTAGCACTATGATCAAGCATAAGGTGATAGAGGTTTCAGGGGGTTAGGGGCTTGTGTATTCCCAATGACCTCTTTCCTACATAATATTCTCCCAGTTCACTGTGTTTAAGCTAATGTCCTTCAATGAAGAATTTGGACTCCATCTCCATAGCCCTTGGGTAGCAGGCATTGCAGTGAGGAAGAAGCAGGGAGAACAGGACCACAGGGATCACATACTTAAGATACATTTATGCTCAGATATCCCCTTATTCCCAAATAATGCACTAAGGCCCCTTCTAGCTCTAAATCTATGATCCTATGGAAACATATGATAAAAAAAAAAGATGCATATAACCAAAATTACGCTCACACTCTTTCACCAAACCCAGGAGATTCAAATGTGCCCCAATTGCTTCCTAGCAATTGTACCTCCACAAAATCCCCAACACTCCTTCCCATCAACTGTTTTTTGAACACTTTCTTTTACTTTTTTTTTGCTGAGGCAATCGGGGTTAAGTGACTTGCCCAGGGTCACACAGCTAGTATGTGTCAAGTGTCTGAGGCCGGATTTGAACTCAGGTCCTTCTGACTCCAAGGCTGGAGCTCTATCCACTGCACCACCTACCTGCCCCACTTTCTTTTACTTTGACAGAGTCATCTCTACCTATTGGTCACGGATCAGGGCTTTCTGCAGGAGGAACAGGTGGTTTGGGAGAGCCTGCACAACGTGGATGGAGACAGCTGCTTCTGTGACTCTGACTTCCACCTAAGCCAAGCTCTGGGCAAGGAGGCGGGAGCGGGGAGTGGGGCTCACTCTCAGGAGACCCAACGACAAGTGGATCAGGTGAGTGGGTCAGGCAGGGGCTCATGTTGGTTTCATGGGGCAACAGCAGGTAAGGAATAAGGGACGTAATTTGATGTTTTATCTGTTTTTGATGATCTAGTCCAGGTTCTGTGATCAACCTCTTTGGCACTCTGGTAAAACCTACAGACTCCTTCTCACAATATTTTTTGTTTGTTTGTTTCCCCCAATTTGTAATTGATGCGAGATTTCAGTTAGAGGTTAGTGAAAATAAAATTGTATTTTTTTTACCCATTCCAAGTTTACAAACCCCCTGAAATCAGACTCAGGAGTCTGTGGATCTCAGGTTAGGGCTATCCATCTACTTTCTTTCTTTCTTCTCCTGCTTTCTATTTCCCTACTTACTGTCTGACTATACAAGGTTAACTGGTTTTTTGGTTTGGTTTTGTCTCTGGCTACAAGGGAGAAAGGCCTGGTGATCTGGGGTGGGGCGGGGGGGATGACGGATTTATCGGTAAAGCTAGAACTGAGTTTCCCTAGTGTCTTTCGTCCTCGGCCCGTTTTCTTTTTCAGGACTATATGATTGCCTTGTCCCTCCAGCAACAACAGCAACGAGGGGCCTTGGGTCTCAGTGATCTGGAACTGGCCAGGCAGCTGCAGCAGGAAGAGTACCAGCAACAGCAGGCACTGCCCATGCCACCCCGTGCCCCATCCCCACAGGTAACCCACCCTAGCACTAGTCCTGGTACTCCCTCCTAGGCAGGGCCTGTTCTGGTCTCCCTGATGCTAGTCTTTTTCCCCAAGTGTCCCTAATCTCAGTGTCTCTCACCTCTGCTTTTCTCATCTTCAAACTCCCAAACCTTCCAATACTCTCCCCTCCTACGATTCTATCAGTACTCCCTTTCACTTTTGTCTTTTCTAACGTCCCATCAGCCTAGAACCCCAAACTCTACTTTTTCTGATACTTTTCCAGGGTAGATAATTGACCAGTTGTTCATGTTGATACAGGAGAGAGGAGCCTCATCTGGACGTCCAACCGGAGAACGTAGGCAGCGATCAAAGCAGGAGTCAGACTGTGTCCTCCTATAGCTGCATCCCAAGCCAAGTTGTTGTGCCTAGTCTGATGTGCCCCACTTCTTTGAGAGGCTTCTCATTATGGTTCCTCCATTTGCGCCTGTTCACCCTAGCCCTTCTGGGTTTTCTTAGTAGTGGGGTACTAGGGAGCAGGGGGCAACTGCCATGGCAAGAGCTGATCAAGTCCACGGGGCTATTCTCAGTGTTGTCCGAGAGTTGTGCCTCCTACATCTCACACCCACCTGCTGCTGTCCCCGATCCTTCTCCCCATTATGCAGGGAAGCATCGAGATAAGGGGCAGGGTTCATGCTGCCCCATCATCTGCTCCATAATACAGAGACACTAATGCACAGACTCAGGCTCCTGGGTGAAATTTCTTAGTCTAGAGTGTCCCTTTCTCCCCAGCTCCAGTTGGCTGGACTTCTCTTGGCTGTCCCCAGGGCATGCTTCTCATTTTGGTTTCAGGGTTTTGTTTGGGTTTCTACCTGGCATTTTTAATGTCTTCTTAGAAGTTTGAAAATAAAACTTCTTTCCTGAGTTTTTTTTTTTTTCAACCTTACGCTTCATATCATCCTATGGGGCAGGGTGGAGTAGAGTATTTGTCATGGTGAGGTGTGGAAAAAGGGTGAGGAATGTGGAGGACTGCTTATCCTAGGGCCAACAGAGGGAGCTGAAATTCCATTTTGCCGCTCTTATTTTTTTCACTGTAGGTCCTATATATTTAGTGTTCCAATTCTAAATCAACACTTTAAATCAACATTGGTGTATGAGATCTGGGTCAGGCTACATGTTGATCACAGAAACTTTAAAAGGCATCCTGGTCCACATTCCCTATACCCCACCTAACATAGAAGATATTTCCTCTCTTGCAATCTCTGACTTGGTATCTGCTGCCCTGTGACTACTTTAATTGTTGATTTAAATTATTGTCTTTCTTCCCCGAGGAAGGATGAATGCTGTGGTGGGAAGGAGAGGAGGGTCTGGAGTAGAGGAGGTGGATCTAGAAACAGTTCCTGTTTGTGTTTTGAAAGTGCAGATCAAAAAAAAAAAAAAAAGTGGAGATCAAAGCCTCTCTAGCTCCTAAGTTCTCCACCCAAAGGAAGACAAACCATAAACTTGCCAGTCTTTACAAGGTACATATGGTCAGTGGAGAATTTCACAAGTGCCTAAACTCTACAGGCACAAACAGCAGATTAACCTTAACTTTGGGGTATAGGATTCAGGGACCTTTTTTAGTAGAGTCCTAACACAGGCTGTAGATGAAATTTAGGAGCATATGAGAGATTCCTGTTTGATTTTAGTGAAGTCATCTTATTTAAAGGCAAAGGAATAGACAAAATGACCTCCCAGAAGGCCCAGCCAAGCCTGCATGTCTCTAATCCTTGGAAATGACAAGAGGGGTAGATGGAAGTGGTAGACACAAGGTTCTGGGGGATGTGTGTCAAATGTCTTCAGCCCGACATAGGGCTAGGAAAGCTGACCGGCAGTCCCCTCTCATGACCTCCTGAAGAGAAGGAAATCAAGTATCAGTAAGCTCATTCCGAACACGGTTCTGATCCCCTACTCCACCCCATTCTCAGCCCAAGTGAGAAATATCCTCCCTGAAGCCACTAAACCTAAACTGAACCCATAGGACTAATGGAGACAGAATGTGAAGATAGATTCTGGGGCTCGAGATGGTGAATTGCCCTTCAAGGGTGAGGCTCTTAGCCTGGTCTGACCTGGAGAGATGAATAGAGGGACTTTCCAAACTTCATTTTGAACTCTGCTCTTATGCTTAGGAGGTCAGTCTCACTTCGAGAGATGAGGATACGCATCAAGACTTGGTAGTTTGGCTCAGCTCCCTGCATGAGGGAGAAATGTGCAGGGGGTAGTTAAATATTAGGGCAAATAGTTGTTGACAGTAAGAAATGGATGGTGTAACTGAATCATTGATCCTGGAAGTGGAATCAGGGAGAAACAGGAATGGACTGGGGAGAAGTTCTTAATTAGCCAAAGACAAAAAAAAAAAAAGACCAAGGGATCTATTATCCAAAATGCCTTGCTGCCTCTTTGCTACTGGTACACGTGGGAAATGATTCGGAAAGGACAACTTGATTTGAGTGTCTTCCAGTACCCTGTGGAGTTAGCTGAGGACCCCAATTGAGTGGTACCCTTTTCCATCTGTCACCTGATACTACTGCCAACTTTTAGAGGTCCAGAAAGAATGCTAATGGACATATAACCAGAACTCCCTTAAAACTGGAAGGGAAACCCTAAGAATTGTCCTTACAATTCCCAAGGAAATGCCAACAGGGAACAGTTTCCAAATAACTCCTTTAAGGTTTCTCTGAGAGGGAGGTGAGGAAATTAAATTGATTCTGTATGATTTTATAATTGATTCTATTCTATAACTGATCCTATTCTGTGTATTACTGTCCTATTTTGTATGATTGCTGAAGCCACATTTCTTTGTCTCTTTGCCTATGAGCTACATTTAGAAGTTTAGCTTTCCTGCTAAACTAATCATTGTTCTATTCTTGCCTCAAGGAAATCTGTTATCCTTGAGGAATGCAGGTGGACACCAGGGAATCTGGTCTAGTATCTTTACATGACCCAGCTATGTCTGGATTGTTATCCAAAGAAGTCTGATGGGTTCAAACAATGAACATTTCCTAGTCACAGGAGGGAAGAAGGGGGTTGTTGCTAGCCCCTCATTTTTAATTTCCAACCACTCATGTCCCCATACATGGTGCTGCCAGCCCTATGACCAATTACCTTGTTTTCCCCACCCACCCAATTCTGTTCTTTGTTCTCTTGTACTTCCCAAAACTATAAGAAGGCTGATAAGCCCTACCTCAGGGTCTTTGGTTATTAAGAGAGGCCACTGACCCAATTTATTGGTTTCTGGTAACCTAACTAATAAATTGATCATGCATAGACCATTGTCTCTAAGTTCACCTTAATTTTCAAACAAAACAGAGCAAAGATTCTTGGAGTCTAGTCCTTGCTCACAGCATGATTACAGCCATGTTATATTACTCTTTTTCTTTGCCTCATTTTCTACTCTTTGGCCTTGGAATCCAACATCAATGACTTCTTTCTACCCTCTGCTTTCTGGGGAATGCTGTGAGAGTATAAAAAAGAAAATAACAATTTTTAAATGGAGACATTTGAGGAACATAGTGATACAAATATAGTAAATTGTAATTATTTCTTAACCACTTACTCTGTTTTCTAATGCAACAAGATGACACATTATTATATTTTCACAACAGAGGGCTTTGATATTAACTAATATATTTTAGAATTAATAAAATCAATAAACTCCTCTTTATTTAAAGTACTCTAGTTAGGGAATGGGGTCTTCTAGTTAACTGAATATTTTCCTTGACACCAGAGGTTGCTAGGTACTGGTTTCAGTTTTCAAGTATACTTACCACTACAGCTATATTATCATATGAGTGTTTGCCTATATTTTTCAAAATATACTTGGAATTAGAGCTAAATTAAATTAATTTAATTTCTGATGCTTCAAACTTCAAACTCTTATAGTGTACCAGGTTCACTATTATTATGATATAACTCACTTTAGAGCCTGTATTTAGAGCAGGAAGGAATCTCAGAAGCCATTCTATTTAATTATTTTTCTTTTCAGGCAACCGGGGTTAAGTGATTTGCCCCTGGTCACACAGCTAGTAAGTGTCTGAGGCTGAATTTGAACTCAGGTCCTCCTGACTCTGGGGCCCGTGCTCTAGTAACTACACCACCTAGCTGCCCCCATCCTATTTTATAGATAAGAGAACCAAGGTCCAAAGATATGACATGACTTAGTCAAAGTCACAAAGATAGGTGACAACACAAGGGATTCTGACACAAAATCCATCTTGTCCTGAGCACCTTTCTGCTATGAGATGAACTCTGGCCCAAAAGGCAACTTAACTTGGAGTTGATCTGAGAACCATATCAGATGTCACATCCAGAAGGGACGAGAACAACCACTTTGTTTTACAGACGAGGAATCTGAGTCCAGAGAAGAGAGGTGACTGTTCCAAAGTCATAGAGAAAGACAGTAAAAATTGGCACTAGAACTCTTATCTCCTAATCCCAGTCTAATGCTCTCACCTCTACACCACACTACCATCTCTCTGTGAACAACCCCGTAGCAGCTCACTGGTAGGATGCTGGAGACTTAAAACTTAGAAGACTGGTCTGAATCTATACTGAATAACTTTCCCTCAAGGTTGCTTTTCTGAATCTCTCTTATAGTTTTTTTTTATTTCTTTCTCATAAGAGTGTAGATAAATGAGTATCTACACAAATAAAATTTGTTCTTAATTAAAGGAGGCTATGTTAATTAACAATTGAGTTGGAAATTTGCTTATTGGATATATATATATTTTTTTTTGGGGGGGGGGGTTAGGCAATGGGATTAAATGATTTGCCCAGGGACATACAGCTGGTAGGTATTATGTGTCTGAGGCTAGATTTGAATTCAGGTCTTCCTGACTTCAGGGCCAGTTCTCTATCTACTGCACCACCTAGCTGCCCCTTGGAGAGACATTTAAACAAAATAACAGACGAATCTGGTGCTTAGTTTTTAGAGTTATATAGACTCTATTGACATTATAATAGCTAAATCTGATATGGCAAAGATCAGAAGTCACTTTTGGGGCTGACATCAAAGAATAGGAGCTCCCAAGCACATAAGATAGTTCCTCCACTTCTTTACCTAAAACCTACTCATTTGTTTCTTTACATATAGGATTTTGGAAGGATTTACCAAGCGTGACAGCAATATCGATTAGGAGAAAAATCTGAGAATTATACACAATGTTATTATCACTAAAATTTAGGGTATCTAATTTTAGTTTGGAGAATATGGAACAGAATCTGGCTGAGATTGGGATGAAAGGATGAGATTTTGTGCTAATGGTAATTGCAAATTTATAATAATAGGAAACATCTCTGCATAATTTTGGAAGTCGGAAGGGCCATTGCTGACATATTCTGGAAAAGAAAAGACTCAGTAGGAATATGATAGTTATGTTTAAGTTTATGAAGGGTTATCATATGGAAAGAGGATGAGACTTGCCCTATTTGGCCCCAGAGCATAGAGCCAGGATCAATGGCCAAAAGTTTCAAGAAGGAAAATTTAGGCTTAATGTCATGAAACAAACAAACAAACAAAAAAAGACTTCTCAACAATTAAATCTGTAAGAGGTAATGGGCTCTCCCTTCAGAGAAGGAAGTAGGTGGCACAGTGAATAAAGGCCTGGCCCTGGAGTCAGCAAGACCTGAGTTCACATTTGACCTCTGACACTTATTAGCCCCTTGACCCTTAGCAAGTCACTTAAATCTCTGTTTGCCTCAGTTTTCTCAACTGTAAAATGACGCTAATAACAGCATTTAGCCCTCGGAGTTGTTGTGAAGCTCAGATGAGATAACACTTATAAAGGGCTTGCATAGTACCTGGCATATTGTAGGTGATATATAAATGCTTATTCCCTCTTTCTCTGTTGACCAGTAAAAACCAGTTTGAATGGTAGAGTCCCAGCCTCCCAGGATACATGTTTACCAAGGTTAATAAGCCTACAGGCTGGGCATTAACCCCCTTCAGCCTCTTGCTAGACTGGTACAATTAAGGTTAAGCTCCCTACATCCTGTCCCTAATTCCTCCCTCCTTATCAGCCAAGTTAGAAATACCTTTATTTTATTGTTCTTATAAATAGAGCAGCATCCCACTGGTATCATGATGTCTCTTTGTCTAAAATTCTACATAAATTTGAGGTGGAGCCAAGATAATGGATTTGGGGCAGTTACCCAGCTGAACTCTCCCTATATTCCCCTCCAAATAATTTTAAAATAATGCCCCAAATCAAATTTTAGAGCAGTAGAACCAACAGAAGGTTGAAGTGAGACTCTTTTTGGCCTAAGAAACTCAAGAGGTCAGCAGGAGAAGTCTGTGGCATCAGGGGTGGAAGCTGGTCTGGAGCCCACATACCTGGTGGTGGAAATAGCAGCAGCTTTGGGAATTCTCAGCCCAGGAACAGTAAGGGGGTCATACAACTGGTTGGAAAGAGATTACAGGGGATGCTTTGCTAGGACTGGGTGCAGCCGGCACTGACTGGTAACACCATTGCCCATATGCAGTTGTGGGTCATAGTTCCAGGGTAGATGGGAGCACTGGGCATCAGTCACAAGAGAGCAGGGATCCTGGTCAGAGTTCCAAGGCAAAGAACAGTGCTAGTGCTTTCAGCTGCAGACACTGATTATCTGATTAGCAGAATCTAGATAAAGTCCAGAGCCCTTTCTAGATAAAGACCGGAGTGCAGACCAGGAGAGCAGGGACCATACCTCTCCCAAGATCTCTCTACCTTGGAAGCACCAAAAACTTGCAGACTCCTAAAACTAGCTCTGAAAAGAGGAGCACAAAAAAACTGGAAGCTTGAGACAGTGCCTTCCCACCCCCAAGTGAGCAGAGTCCAACTTTAACATAAAGTTCAAAGTAAAAAAAAAAAAAAAGTGTAGAAAAATGAGCAAACATCAACAAAAAAAAAAAGAATTTGACCATAAAAAGCTACTACAGTGTCAGGGAAGACCAAGACATAAACTCAGAAGAAGACAACAATGTGAAAACAGCTACAAAAAAGCCTGAAAGAAAACTGCTAATTGGACCCAAACCCAACAGAAATTACTGGACGAATTAAAGAAAAAAAATAACAGCAGTAGAGAAAAACTGGAAAAAGAAATGAGAATGAAAATTATGAAAAGAGAATTTACAGCTTGGTAAAAGAGACACAAAAAATACTGAAGAAAATAATATCTTAAAAAATACAATTGGCCAAATGGAAAAAGAGTTACA